AAAAAAAAAAAAGTAAAAGAAAAGCAACCAAGAAGACTAACCTTTGTTGCCGACTTGGGGGGATGGAGAAAGGTGAATGAATGTGAAGTAATTATGATATATATTTATAGGAGTAGTTTGGGTGGTGGTCAAGAAAAGGTAATCTAGTGATTGAAGCAATGTGGGTGACTAGTTAGGTTTGGGTATTTTCTTTAAGAATGATAAAAATATGTAGATAAATATTTGAAGTTGTGATTAATTATGATTAGATATACTTTTATAATGTGATGAGTGTCATCTATGCTTAAAAGAGAGAGAGAGAGAGAGAGAGAAAGAAACATATGGCTAATTTATTAACTCCAAGCTATCTAGACTTAAAGGTGAAGTTGGACACTAAGTTTCAAGGTTGATTGGTGATTACCTCTGTAAAGGTAAGTAAGGTTTTTGGAGTTAGTGGAGCTCTAACAATTTATTAATTCAAGCTTGCCAATTTATTTGGACTTTAGGCAAAGTTGGAGTTTTTGGGATTAAGTTTGCTATATTTTAGTTGGAGTTATCTAATATTTATGTATGTACATTTCTAGAACCTTTATATGCAGAGGTGTCTAATACCTTTACAGGTAACATTTTAAGACCTCTGTATACGGAGATATCAAAGATCTTTGCAAGTAAAATACTAAGACCTCTATATGCAGAGCTATTTAACATCTTTGCAGGTAAAATTCCAAGGCTTCTATATGCAAAGTTATTGAACCCAAAGCTCTACATAAAAAATTCAAAATCCTAATACCAAGATTAAATTTGAATTTGGGACCTCTACACAACATTTTGTTTTTCTTGGGCAACCAGTGGTTTTGATGACACCATCAAGATACACAACCAACGTCATTGAGGAAAATCAAAGGTATGAAAAATCTTTGATTACTCTAACTTCTCAATGGGAGGCAAGTGTTGTAACTATAACTCCAGATTGGAGGAAAATTAGGATCATGTGATCAAAATAGATTTCATAGAAATTATCTTTAATTTTGAATTTAAATTATAGATAGCATGGTTAGATGATGATTTAGAGAAAATCTACACGCAAAGGTTAAAAGGACCTCATGAAATAAAAAAAAAAAGGTCAGAGACTGAATGTCAAACTCTGTACTTCTTCCTCCATTAATGAAATCCTAATGATTACAATTAATTGGCCATTTAAATTATTTTTCAGTGTTAACAATAATTGACCAAAATGTTGAGGAAAACTTGAGCTACACATTACAAATTACTGTGCAAGCCACTATTTCGATTATTCTACTTGACCAAAATACAATGAACATCAAAAGCGTGACCTGCTTCACATCAAATCGGCTCAGGCTTTTTTTCAATCAATAAATTTGACCAAGTTATAAATATTTTATGATTTTGATTAATATTTAACGTTAAATATAGTGCAGATTTTTTTTTTTTTTTGCATTTTATTCGATTAGTTTTTTACCAAATAAGCCTTATCCTTGAGTTTGGTCAAATTCCCTGACTGAATTAGTTTTGGCACCATTTCTCATGCAATCAATTTAGTCAAGTTGCTTCACCGAAGTAATTTTTAACTTAATTATACTGTTTTTTGGTTTTTTTTAAGACATGTCTCTTATTCGATCATATTAAATGACCAAAATATATGTTTTTTCAGTCAAGAATATTTCTTGACTGAAATACTTTAACTAAAATGGTTAGTATTCTATTAATGATTAATTATTTTTAATAATTAAACTAAATAAAAATTATATTTTTTAAGACAATACTAACAAATTTACATAATCTACAAAATTCTGAATAGTCATTACCACACCTTTTCACTAGTGGTGTACTACTAAACAAATTATTTGGGCTAAGGGTCTATCTAGTATAGCAGTTTGGAGGTAATAGTTAGTGATTTTATCTAAACCACTAAAAATAAATGTTTGGTAAACTTATTTATTTTAAAATCGTTACAAATTAAATGTTTAGTAAACTTTTTTAATTAGTGATTTGGGATTAGCGAATAGCGATTATGATTTAAATCGTTAACAAATTGGGTAAGGTAGGTTTTTGTACCAAATCGTTAGTAAATTGAAATTTTTTAATTTTATTATCAAATTTATCCTTTTAGCTTTTTAATTTTTGGTCATAATTTTAATTAGTATTTATTTAATTAGTTTCAACTTTATTTTTTATCTTTTGCATTAATTTATTATAAAAAAATATATTAGTTTAATAAACAAAATTTACTAATTAAATGAAAATGATTAAAAATTTTTATACTTTATTTAAAA